ACCCTCTCAACAAGTCGTTTGTTACGCCGCTTTGGTAAATCTTCATACGTCTTCTTCTTCTCCTCTTCCATTTTCATCTTCTTCTTCTTATGCTCTTCAACTATGTACTTTATTGTCTCTTTTTCCCACATTTCATCTGAAGAAGAGCTAGAATCCGAATCGTCGATCTCTGAGTCGGTGTTATCAAACCCATAAATACCATTAGCCAAATCATTTCCAAAATTTTCCCACGACCACGTTATTTGATATTCTCAATTTTTTCTCACTTTTCACACATCAAAACTGTTGAGTTAATCGATCGACGGAATAGGCCAAGAGGGGGGTGAATTGGCAATAAAAAATTTCAGTGGAAGCTTTTGCAGAAAATTGAAAATATTTGCACAACGATTTAGAGTGGTTCGACTTTCTCAACCAAAGTCTGCGTTCACTACTTAGCTATCCACACTAAGGATTTTCCACAAATTCACTAATTTGTCTTTCTTTTGAGGACAAAGAGTAACCTTACAACTCCCTTAAGAATTATACCATAAATTCTTGGGAACACTCTCTCCCAAAGAGAACAATACAAATTTTGCAAACTTACAAGAAAATCCTCACAAAGAAAGATGTTTGCACAATTCTAGAACAAAGAAAGAACACTCAAGAATAATACAATTGAGCACAACAAGTGTTATTGAAAGCAAAAATGAATATTGAATGAAATAGGCTTGAAAATGCTCAAACTTGAGGTTTGATGCTTTCTATTTGATTATCTCTTGATTCTTGTTGATTTTTGTTTCTTGTTATTGATCAATGGCTTCTAATATTGTTTAAATACTCCTTCAATTGATTCTGAATGTTGGGCATTATTAGTGGAGTCAATAGAGTCGTTTAAGTGTGAAAACAATTAATAAAACAGCTTGGAGCATGGGGGGAATCGGTATCCCTTCATAGGAAGTCGATTCCTGTAGTGTAAAATTTCAAATATTTTAACCGTTACATAGGGGGAATCGGTTCCCTCAGAGCAATTTGTTATTTCTCGGAGCCAAAACCATTCAAGGGGAATCAGTTCCCTCATTGGGGAGAATCGGTTCCCTCTGGGCAATCTGTCCATTTTGGTTTGAAATTTATTAAGAAATGATTTTTGACTCGATTAAGGCTCGAAATACTTTGTAAATTTGTTTAAAAGATTAAAACATATTTTTACACTAGAGTAAGGATTTGAAATAGACATTTTGTAAAACTTGGAGTAATATTTTGATATTCGAATAGTTGTATCGAATATACTCAGAAAATCATTTGTAAAATCTTAAAATTCATTTAACTTAATTTGTTATATCGAAACATCAAAATATTTTCAACAAAAACCTTCACCCTAAACCCCTATTTATATTAAAACCATCTCCCAAAATAGTCGTTAGAACACGTTACACCGGCGTGACGAGTTCCAGTGAATCCCAAAAACAAATTTGCTCGTTCAACAACCCCCAACGGTCGAGAAATTCAAATTTATACCAGTTGGAACTCGTCACGCTAGTGTGACGAGTTCCGTTTCCATTAAAATAATATATATATAATGATGTTTTTTAAAATTCAAAAAAAATTATAAATATATTCAGCCTATAGGACCCACATCCCACAACACCTTAATAAAATATATCCTATGGAACTCGTCACGCTGGCATAACGAGTTCTAACTCCACTGTAGCATTTGTCGTAGATCCCAAAATAAAAACCAAGTTTCCCTATTGGACTAAATAATTGGGTTGCTTACAATATTACCCTAATTTTTCCGAACCTAATAGGTAAAAGAAATATTATTATTCATTGAAATTCTAGGTTTCAACATAATGTTTGTAAAAATATTTTAATTTTTTCTACCCTCTCAACAAGTCGTTTGTTACGCCGCTTTGGTAAATCTTCATACGTCTTCTTCTTCTCCTCTTCCATTTTCATCTTCTTCTTCTTATGCTCTTCAACTATGTACTTTATTGTCGATTTTTCTCACTTTTCATCTGAAGAAGAGCTAGAATTTGAATCGTCGATCTCCAAGTCGGTGTTGTCAAACCCATAAACACCGTTAGCCAAATCATTTCCAAATTTTTCCCACGACCACGTTATTTGATATTCTCAATTTTTTCTCACTTTTCACACATCAAAACTGTTGAGTTAATCGATCGACGGAATAGGCCAAGAGGATGGTGAATTGGCAATAAAAATTTCGGTGGAAGCTTTTGCAGAAAATTGAAAATATTTGCACAACGATTTAGAGTGGTTCGACTTTCTCAACCAAAGTCTATGTCCACTACCTTATCTATCCACACTAAGGATTTTCCACAAATTCACTAATTTGTCTTTCTTTTGAGGACAAAGAGTAACCTTGCAACTCTCTCAAGAATTATACCCCAAATTCTTGAGAACACTCTCTCCCAAAGAGAACAATACAAATTTTGCAAACTTACAAGAAAATCCTCACAAGGAAAGATGTTTGCACAATTCTATAACAAAGAAAGAACACTCAAGAATAATACAATTGAGCACAACAAGTGTTCTTGAAAGCAAAAATGAATAGTGAATGAAATAGGCTTGAAAATGCTCAAACTTGAGGTTTGATGCTTTCTCTTTGATTCTTGTTGATTGTTGTTTCTTGTTATTGATCAATGGCTTCTAAGCTTGTTTAAATACTCATTCAATTGATTCTGAATGTTGGGGATTATTAGTGGAGTCAATAGAGTCGTTTAAGTGTGAAAACAGTTAATAAAACAGCTTGGAGCGTGGGGGGAATCGGTACCCCTTCATAGGGAATAGATTCCTGCAGTGTAAAATTTCAAATATTTCAACCGTTACACAGGGGGAATCGGTACCCCCTGGGGGGAATCGGTTTCCTCCGAGCAATCTGTTATTTCTCGGAGCCAAAACCATTAAGGGGGAAAATTAGCCCATTTGGTTTGAGATTTATTAAAAATGATTTTTGACTCGATTAAGGCTCGAAATACTTTGTAAATTTGTTTAAAAGATTAAAACATATTTTTAAAAATTTGAAATAGACATTTGAAAAATAAGTTTTGATATTCGAATAATTGTATCGAATATACTCAGAAAATCATTTGTAAAATCTTAAAATTCATTTAACTTAATTTGTTATATCGAAACATCAAAATGTTTTCAACAAAAACCTTCACCCTAAACCCCTATTTATACTAAAACCATCTCCCAAAATAGTCGTTGGAACTCGTTACACCGGCGTGACGAGTTCCAGTGAATCCCAAAAACAAATTTGCCCGTTTAACAACCGGTCACCCCAACGGTCGAGAAATTTAAATTTATACCAGTTAAAATAATATATATATATATATATAATGATGTTTTTTAAAATTCAAAAAAAAAAATTGGACTCGTCACGCGAGCTTGACGAGTCCCTTTATATATATAAATATATTCGGCTTATAGGACCCACATCCCACAACACCTTAATAAAATATATCATATAGAACTCGTCACGCTGGCATGACGAGCTACAACTCCACTGTAGCATTTGCCGTAGATCCTAAAATAAAAACCAAGTTTCCCTATTGGACTAAATAATTGGGTTGCTTACAATATTACCCTAATTCTGCCGAACCTCATAAGTAAAAGAAATATTATTATTCATTGAAATTCTAGGTTTCAACATAATGCTTGTAAAAATTTTAATTATTATTATTAAAATTAATAATTTTTAAATAAATATTATCTTGTAATCTCCTTAAATAATTAAAAAAGTAAATGTATTAAAAATAAAAAATTATATTAATACAATTATTATTTAATTTGGATATTTAGAAGTAATATTGTATAATTGATAAATTATACATAATCGGCTCAGAGCATTTGGATAGCAATAAAGTTGCTAATGCCAAAAATAAATTGTAAAGGGAAATAGATTTTGTCATCAAGCAACGACGACAACTTATATACAAATTTTTGCATTTTTTATGATGCACCCTAAAATGATAAAATCTTAATAAATGTTCAATGTCACTGATATTGTTCCACCGTATCTGAATCAATTTAATAAAATTATAATAAACCTTTAATATTAGAAATAAATACTATAAAAACTTAAAAGGGATTAAGGTGATTAATCAGTAAAATTAAATGTTATAAAATTATTTTACTGTTTGAAAAGTTTGGATCAAAATTGTTATATAATAAAAAGAACTGAAAATTTCTTGAGATTTTTTTAATGAAAATTTTATTATAATTGATAATAAAAACTTATATTTTTTAATATCTTTAATTTTTAAAAAGAATTGCTAATATAAAAATTTCTATCCAGTCGAATAGTGGTAACCCAAACCATGAAAAAATGTTTAAAATGAGTATTATACTATATCTAAAATATATATATTAAATAAAAAATATTATTTTGTAATCGTTTTAGTTTATTAAAAAATTACATTAAAATCATGTTAAATTTAATTATTTATGTATCTTTTTAATTCAATTATCCTATATTTTAAATTTTGAATTTTTTTATAAATTAATATTTTCAGTAAATGTAGTTTATTAAACATCAATTACTTTTATTTTTTTTAAACATAATAACTTCATTCACAAATAATACATCAAATAATATAAATAAAACAATAATAAAATTTATTATACATCCTTAAACTGAATATAAATTTTAAATATTATAATTTTAAACTATATATCTCTACCAAATTTTAGCCTAAATTACGCTGGCTCAATCTCATGTTAAATATAAAATAATGTTGGATGATATGTTTATAAATATATTGCAGTTATTAATTAAAAAGTTCCCCAAACCCCCTCGTATATGGAAGGAGTTTTGAGGTTTAAGCCTTTTTGCTTTCTTTGCGAATTGCGATCTTGTCGCTGTCGCTGAGATCAGGGGATTATTGTCTTTCCGATATTCATTATTATTAAACTTTTTCTCTTTATTTTTATATTCGCGCATTCGTTTCATGTCTGTGTGCCTGAACTGAAACAATCCTATTTCTTATGGTACACGCAAGATGTTGAATCCGTCGTTGCCGATAGCTTCAAGAACCAGAAGTAGGACGGAAGCCCACGTCTTGAAGGAGCATCGTGCACTCAAGCGGAGGAACACTGAGAAGGTGGTGCTGGAGGAGGTGGAGGACGAGCGGAAGGACAAAACTGTTACATCTTTCGCTTCTCAAAAAGTGACAAACGAAGTCCATTTTCTGTACCAAAAATCTGGCGTTGAAATACAGCAGCGTAAACAGAATGCAACAAGCCCTGCTGATGTTTGCAATCTTTATAATGTCGATGATGAAGAAGAAGAAGAAGAAGATGATTCAATGGAGGGTTCTGATGAGGATCTCACATCCACAAGCGGAGAAGACAATGATGAGTCGGATGATTTGGATTATTGCGGGGAGGAGAAAGAGATAGAGAAAAAGATAGAGAAAGAGAGAAAGAAGGAGAAGAAGAAACGTCGGTGTTCTTCCGGCTCGGACGATGACGATGACGACATTGTTTGTTTAAATGATTTTACTTCTTCCTATACCAACCCGTCCAAGGGTAAAAAAGGGGCAGCCTCCTCCGAGAAGCTTCACTTTCTTACCTTTTGGCAGATACTATTTTGAACAATGAAGAAACTGAGAACAACCTTTCGCCTCTCAATTTCTCATCTGGACTGAGGACACAATCACTCCTCAGAACGTAGGTTTTGAAGACGAATTGGACTCACTGTGGACTGAGATGCAGTTTTTCCTTGCTTCTAACGAGATTGGTTCAACTCATCCTTCCCCGGTATGTGCATGTGACCAAACAATACCAGTATTCCAAAGTGATTCATATAATAAAAATTGTATCTTTGTTTATTATATTGTGAAACCCTTTTTTGTGCGTTGAAATCAAGTGAAATCCATTGCCTTTATCTTGTATGGATTTGTCTTCTATTGAAATAAATACAACGAATATGGATGCTGATGGTTTAGCAAAGGCTGGTATAGGTTGATTTTTATGTGTTGGCTTCTTTAGTTTGGTTTTCTGGCTCCTGTATTGTTTGTAAGGGTTTTTTGGAATAGTTGTTCCAAGGTTGTAATTCTATTTTCTATAATGAAATTATAAGGCACTCTTTTTCTCCTTCCGATGATTAAGAAGCTTCAATACAAGCTCCATTAATCAAGAAGGGGTTTTTAATGAAGCCTTCAAATCTTATCAAAATAAATAAATGCAACCATCGACAAAGAACATACATTCATTCAACTGCACATCTTTCTTTAAACGCTGTAAAGATCAGATAAAGTGGCCTTGAACTTTTCTTAGAAAGGAATAGATGCAAATTATCTTGGTTGTTCCTAGCATCTTTTTGGGAACAGTTAATTTTTTCTACCATATTTATATGTATATGAATATGCACTCCTTAAAGTGAAAATTAGCAAACCATGAATTTAAATTTCCTTTTTCATGAATCTTCGTTTCAACTCTAAGCGAATTCTGCTTTTAGATGATTGAATTGATACCTATATTGCCCATATTGATAAGCAGGTGGGAACTGAGGATGCTGCTAATGTTTGTGGGGTTAAACGGGACAGATCATCCCTATGTCGTCAAGGGGATCATAAACTTGTGCTAGACGAAGAAATTGGAATAAAATGCAAATTTTGCTCTTTTCTGGAACTGGAAATCAAATACATTGCATCACCTTTAGTAAGTTTCATATGGACCTGTATGTTTCATGCTTAATAATCTATTTATGAACTTTTTTCATTTTATGGATTTAGATGTAAACAGTTCCAATTAGAATTGTGGTCCTAGACAAGCTAAATGGCAAGGAGCCTAATATGTATACTGCAAAACTTGAGGATCTTACTTCGCTTCAGATATTTAATGCTCATAACTTTGTTTTGCTTGTTGCAGATGAAACGTCCATGTGGAAAATATGAGAGGCAACACTCTAGCATTGTGAACTCCTCTATGTTTGATGGCCTTCAAGATCTAGATCCTCGCATTGACATGCCTGGTGATTCCTCTGCCAATATCGAAGGAACAGTATGGGAAATTGTTCCAAATATAAAAAGTAAACTCCACCCCCATCAGCGTGAAGGTTTTGAATTTATGTGGAGTAATATAGAAGGGGGAATTTATCGTGATAAGTCTAAAAACTCATCCAGCAGCGGTGGAGGATGCATCATATCTCATGCTCCTGGGACAGGGAAAACTCTTCTGACCATCGTCTTTCTTCAGACATACTTAAAAGAGTATCCAAGCTCGTGGCCAGTAATTGTTGCTCCTTGTACAATGTTGCTAACATGGAGAGACGAGTTCATTAAGTGGAAGGTTGATATTCCCTTTCACAATCTAAACAGTGAGGATTTTTCTGACAAGGAAGAAACGTATGCAATTCCTCATTATGAGAAACTAAATAATGCTACCCTGCATGCAGATAAACATGCTAAGCGTTTGGTGAAACTGCTTTCCTGGAAATCCAGTGGAGGCGTCTTGGGAATTAGTTACAACCTTTTCACTAAACTTGCTGGAAAAAAGAAAGGAGGGAAAGGAAAATGTAAAACTTTAGATGATCAAATCAGTAAAATCCTTCTTGATCTTCCTAGGCTTTTTGTCTTTGATGAAGGACATATACCTAGAAATGCTGATTCTCTTTTGTGGAAGGCTTTGTCAAGAATTAAAACCAAACGTCGTATAATTCTGTCCGGAACTCCCTTCCAAAACAATTTCAAAGAGCTCTTCAACACACTCTGGTTAGTTAGACCAACATTTGCTGAAGGAATCCAGTACACTAATCGATACAAGGATAATATAAGGTGTGGGCGCAAAGGAGACCAAGCAAAATTGAAATTTGCCAATTGGATTGGTTCTATTGAAAACGATGTTGATAGAATTAACAAACTGAGAGAGGTTAGAGCTGTGATTAAGCCTTTTGTTCATGTGTATGAAGGCACAATTCTACAGACTGCACTTCCTGGTTTGAAGCATTCTCTAGTTGTTTTATGGCCCACTCATCTGCAGAAGAAAATCCTTGAGTGTGTTGAAGAAATCCTGCATCGTGTTGAAGAATTCCTTCAGCGTTCTAGAGAAAAGAAGAATCCTTTCAAAAAGAGAAGAAAAAACGTAAAGCAAAATCCACTTGATTTGGATCGTTATGTGTCCTTGATCTCCATCCATCCCTCTTTGTTGAAGCAGCTTTTGATTCCGCTGTTAGATGAGAAAGATACTGATGACGTTGTCAGCTCCATTGTTAGCATGAAGGAGTTAGAAATGATAAGACTGAAACCCGATGAAGGAGTGAAAACAAAATTCCTCATGAATCTGCTTAAGCTTAGTGAAGCCCTGGAGGAAAAGGTTATAGTTTTCAGTCAATACATTGGACCATTACGCTTAATAATGGAGCAGCTTCAAGATAATTTAAAATGGAAGGAAGGTGAGGAGATATTCTTAATGCACGGAAAATGTGACATAAAGCAGCGTCAATGCTCGATTAATGTTTTTAATGATCCAAAGAGCAAAGTAAGGGTGTTGCTTGCATCAACTAAGGCTTGCTCTGAAGGTATTAATCTTGTTGGAGGTTCAAGGCTGGTATTGCTTGATGTCACATGGAACCCATCTGTCGAACGACAGGCTATATCCCGTGCTTATAGGCTAGGCCAGAAAAAGGTCGTATACGTTTACCACCTGATCTCCTCTGGGCCAATGGAGGCAACAAAATATTATCGACAAGCTGGGAAGGATCGGTTATCTGAGTTATTGTTCTCTTCAGATAAAGGTGATCATCACAAACAAGTCTGTAATATTGTAGAGGATAAAGTTTTGGAAGAGATGTTCCAGCATGAGACGGTCAAGTCAATGTTTGAAAAGATCATAAACGAGCCCAAAGATTCTGAATTTTCTGCTTTTGAGGATCTATAATAGGTACTATGATTCTATTCCCTTATAGAAAGTTCATTATATGACTGAAGGAATACCAAATTCAGAAGCTAACAGTTTATGCATTTTTTGCTGCTTTTTTATTCCTTCAGCTTGCTGACACTTGGAATCCTTAATTGTATTATAGACATATATTACAAGTCACTGACATATATTACAAGCCACTGTGTAGGCAAATCTTGATCATCTGATGTCATTTACATTTATGATATAGACAAGAAATGGAACATAACCCATATTAAATCTAGGAATGTCAATTACTTTTCATTTTACCTTAGATATGAGTAGCATATTGGTCGTGAGACTAGCAATTTCTGCATATTTATTTTTGCTACTACTTGCTTTACTCTATTGGAGACAGTTCCCCAAAACCAAAGTTCATCCCTCCAACTTTGATTAGCATTGAACAAGATTTGGTTGAACTTGGAGTTGGTATTGTCTGGCTTGTACAATTTGATCAGCTTTGTGCAGTTTTGCTTCCTTCTTTCTCTTATCAAATCAGATATTCATCATTGATTGGTTTGTTTATGAGAAGTTATTGCCTTTTGGGTGATTTCAGGTTCTGAAAACGGGGAAAGATTGATGTCACCTTGGTTCTCTGTAACATGTTTGGTGGTGTTATGGGAAGCTTCCACAAGGGACTTGGATCGAACTTGAGCCAATTTGCCTCTAGGGCTAAAAACACTACATTTTTGTGCGCCGATTTATTTACATGATTATACATTTTGTTTGTTACTTAAGAGCAGCTTATCATTTATTGCTAAATGAAATGCTTATTTGACATGTTTGATAAAATGAAGTAGTACCAAATCTAGTTTTCATTTGTCAAATTCCGACCAGAACCTTAACCTAAAATTTGGACCCAACAATTAAGATGCCAATCACTCCATGATTAAACATTCATAAAACTTTAAAAGAAAAACCAACCACTTTTTTTGCGAAAACTATGAAACAAACATATTCTTCATTTCCATGTTCTTAACAGGGGTGAAGGTGGAGGTGGAAATGGCCTTGGTTTTCTCATAATCATAAATTTGTATATAAATTTTTTAAATATTAAATTTTTAGTTAAATATGGTAATTTTTTATGAATCCTTGTTATTTTAGTTCAAGTTATATCATGTGTAAATTTATATATGTATGGATTCTTATTCTATTGAGTTGGGAGAATTTCTATTTTGATCATTATGGAATTAAAATTAAAAATAAATTATTTTGAACTTAAAATTATAGAATTTTTTCCGGGCTAAATGTTGTATTTGGGTTAAACTAGCAATTTATTAAGATTAATGGTTAATTCTTCTAGTTGACACCACTTGTCCTCTTTCACTTCTAGTTTGTCTTCTCTCAGCTTCCGAAAGAAAGATATCATTAATTGATCAGAAAAAAGTTCACCTGTTTTCACCCCCACCGTTACTTTGACGTGCCAAAATCCTAATGGTCGTCAATCTATAGAGTCAACCATCTCTGTATCGACCAAACAAATGATTATTTCAACGCTCTCAACTTGCATGGTCTTCCTCTGCTCAACACTCTCAGTGCCTTGCCTTATCCTCTTTGGTCTTTGGCTTTTTATACCTTTCTCACAAGTTATTATCTTCAGAATCCAAATTGAATTAGGGATTGGGGTTTGTTGGGTGCTCTCTGTTTTTGTTGTTTTGATCGCCCTAATCTAGAAAAGAAGTTCAATCAAGATCCCTGCCATGGAAGGAGAACTACTAGATTGGGAGGTGCTCCACAGCTCAGACTCTGAGTCGAATTCTATCATGGCGACCTCGCCCGAGTCGAGGAATCTTGAGAGCATTGAAGGTGATACTGAAGGGATGATAAGGTCTGATTACTTTTCTCTTGATAATCAGAGTATGTATGCAAAGGAGGGGGATGTGAGTGAAGAAGGCTCTATTGAGTCAGATAATCCGAGTTGGATTGATCCCAAGCCGGTGACTCAGTATAGGAGGAATAACTCGGGCGATTTTTGGTCCGATTCCGGCAGTGATCGGTCAGATGATCGTAAATTAACTGATTTGGTTGTGAAAAAAGACTTCGAGTTTGCTGAGAACGAGAAAGCCTCGGATTTGTTCCAAGGGATTGGAAAAGCGGAAGATAAGACTGACGAATTGGTTACATTTAAGCCTGATGCTACTAAATTTAGTGAATTCGATAGGACAAAGGAGTTAGGTTTCGGTGAGTTTGACGACATTCAAGATCAAGACAAGGATTTGGGCAAGTTCTGGCCTGATTCTGGTGGAGATGGTTTGATTTCAATGAAGTTTCAGGATATTGAGAAAGAGGCTGGCATAGAATTTAGTGACTTTATGGAAAAGGGAGCTGAGTTGGAGAATTCAGGTGAGCTCGATGATGGGGATAGCTCAACTTTCAATTCGGAAGTAGGAGACGATAATACAATTAGTAATGAAGGTGTAACTGTTGATGAAATGGAGTTGCATGCGAAATCGGTTAATGAGGGAGACAAGAAGAAGGTAGCATGGTGGAAAGTTCCTTTCGAGCTCTTGAGATACTGTGTTCTCAGGGTTAGTCCTGCTTGGTCCTTCTCTGTAGCGGCGGCTGTGATGGGTTTTGTTATATTAGGATTTAGATTGTATAAAATGAAGCGGAAGAGCAGTAGCATGCAGATAAAGGTTACCCTGGATGATAAGGTCAGTTGCTGCTTTTTGTGTTTCCTGTTATTGTTTTCAATATTTGGAAATTGGATAATGAATTGTCTCTTAGATTTATTCTGTAACCAGGCAATATAAGTTATTGGTTGTCCTTGTTATTTTAGGATTTAGATCCATTTCTGCCCTAGGGTTCATGTTGCAATTGAATTTCATTATCTTTTATACATAATCTTTATGGTCTTCTTCGTTTTTGTTTCATTATCCCTTTGAGCTTCACCATGACTAGTTGAGACCCGTTGCTTGCTTGATTTGGCAGTGTTTTTACCGGCATCCTTATTAATTTCTTTATTTAGAAATATTTGATTAGTGGGTGCTTTCCCGAGTGAACCACTGAACCATTTTATCTATTATTAGTTCCTTATCTAAGCGCTGAAATTCTCTTCTTTTTGCCTTGGTTCACTGAAAATATAGTTGCTTATCACTGTAATAAATTAAATACAATAAAATAAGGAAAGTAATGTCAATCTAAATAAAGTCCTACCAAAAAGAACTTCTAAATAGAGTCTTACCAAAAGCTTATTCCATTCTTTTTTAAGTCCTACCAAACAACTTCTACCAAGTTTCCACAACACATTTTCTTTTGTGGTGGGCAACTTTGTGTTTTGTATTCATCTCCTCCTCCTCTGTTCTGTTCCCTGTCACTAACACAACTTTTAACTAAATGCTGAACGGAAAACACGTATGTAATAGAAAAACCAATTCAATATTCAAACACCAAAGTCTCTCACCATTAAATTGGACTTAAGACTATTTAGCTGACAGCTGAATCATATCCATCATATTATCATGGAGATAGTACATGTTATTAATATCTAAGGTACGTTGGATTGTCAAGAATTTGTAGCAATCATATCCTCTCATCTCCTCCTCCTCTGTTCTGTTCCCTGTCACTAACACAACTTTTAACTAAATGCTGTACGGAAAACACGTGTGTAATAGAAAAACCAATTCAATATTCAAACACCAAAGTCTCTCACCATTAAATTGGACTTAAGACTATTTAGCTGACAGCTGAATCATATCCATCATATTATCATGGAGATAGTACATGTTATTAATATCTAAGGTACGTTGGATTGTCAAGTATTTGTAGCAATCACATCCTCTCAATGTTTGTGTGGATTCCAGTCTTGGATGCCAAATTTGGTCAACTAATAAATGCTAAGACCCTTTTATTGCAAGGTTAGGGAGTTCGGCTTTGCCTTTTGTCTAGTCTCTTTCATGTAAACAGAAGATAACCCTACATGGCTACATGCCAAACAAAGCCAACGAAAAATGTGATATGTCTCTCTACAGAAAAATGAGAGACCAAACAAAACCATTCCTGAAGTGTTGCAGAAATAAGTTAGGAGGCTTTAAATCTTGGTTGATCCATCCATTTCTATTTTTCAGAAACACCAATTTTTATGTCTTCTCTTCCTATGTCTTGCGGACATGGAGGTGGTTAGGATATAATGGAGGATATGATTTGAGGAATACTTATTTGCGATTTTAGATCCAAATATTTTGTTCATCATGGTTCAGAACTTGTTTACCCTTCTATGATTAAAATCTTATCCCGATTTCTTTTCAAGCATAGAGTTTTTTTATGAATTTGGGTTCTTGTTGTACTTCTATTGTGCCCCTTTTTGGTATCATTTGTTTTTAATTTTTGTTTGCTGAATTTGAGATAACAGTGAATCTAGTGATTCTTATAATACAAACAAAATAATAATGCAATTGGTTTTTATGTTGGAATACACGTGCACATGCACATGCACACAAGAGTAGAGATCTCATTAAATTAGTTTAGTATTGTGGATTGTGCATGTAGAGTTTTCATTAAATAGTTTAATATTTGTATTATTTACATAAGTTCATAAACTCTTTGTATGATTTATATTTGTTAAATATTTTAGGCAAAAGGGTAACTTTTACCCCTGTAGTAGACCTAAGTTATCACTTTCGCCCCTATTGTATTTTCACATCATTTAGCCCTCGAAGTTACTCAATTGCATCATTCTATATCCTACTCTAACTTAAAACCTTAAATTATAAGCCATAACCTATAACCCCTAACCCTAAATCTAAATCCTAACTCAGAGTTTATAATTTAGGGTTTTAAGTTAGGGGTAGGGTATATAATGATGCAATTAAACAACTTTGAGGGTTAAATTGATGTGAAAATACGATAGAGGCAAAAATGATAAATTGGGTCTACTACAGGGGCAAAGGTGACCCTTAAGTCAATATTTTGTATCATACTGATTATACTGATTTATAAAAGATTCATAACATAATATTGTGGATTGTGCACGTAGAGTT